TTATATCAGAGGAACTACTACTTTGGGGAATGATGTTAGTGATGCAGAGGCGGGGGAGAAGGCAATGGTGTGGGGGGAGCATGTAAGGAGGTTTGAGGATAAGCTGTTGGAGATTAAAAAAATAAATAAATAAGGCAGTGAATCGAGTGAGAGGAACGGATGGGGTAAAGAAGGTAGGGAGAAAGGAAAGAGAAATTGAATTGAAACTCGCGGAAAATAAAGTTTTCTTTTGCAAAAACAAAATTCTAAAATAAAATTAAAAAACAGAATTAAAATACTGAAGAAGACAAAAATGCAATGAACAATAGTAAAAGATGTCAAGACTTTTTTCTTTCTTTTTAAATACTTATTTCTGTAAGAATATTGAAAAGGAGAGAGTGACGTCAGATTTTTAGTTGGCACTGTATTAAATTGATATGGGTCTTTTCAAAGAACCATTTACTTATTTATGCTACTTCTCTATTATCTGCCATAATCGTCTCTTCTTTGCCTGTTTCTTCTTGTGTATACACAATAAAGAGAGCATTAAAAGCTTTGTATTTAATTTTATAGATGGAGAGGGGTAATGAGCAAGAGAATGGAGAGTAATACGAGCAGAGGTGAGGAGAAAAAAATAAACAGATAAGTGAGCCAGTTGTAGGTGACTTTGTTATACTTTCTATAAAGATCTGAACAGAGTTTCAACTTAAAGTATTTTTTGCAATTTCCTCCATGAGGAAATGACAGTAAGGCATATTGACATTCACAACACAGACACACAAGAAATAATAAAAATAAAGAAGGGATGGCAGGAGGTGAATCAAGAGAGACAGAAAACTCTTGCAGGTATATATTTGTAACCTAGATACTTAAAACGTGTGCACAGGTACAACTCTTAACAGACATGTCTTTTTTTTTCTTACTTCTATTGCTTTCTCCAAAGTAAAGACTATCATTACCTCAACCTATTCCCCATTTTTTTTTAACAAATGTCAACAACCAAATCAGCCTGTTTACCTGCAAATTAACCAACTTAAACTGATACCAATTCTCTTAGGTGCACCTCACTCTATAACAGACCATTACCATAGTACATTCAATCCTCATTGGGTACCCTACACTTGTGGCCTTACTATGCTAAACTGTAAATTAAGGCATTTTACTAAAGAATAATTTTAACAAGTCAGTTCAGCACACCATTGTTGCTATAGTGCCATCAATCCTCACTGAGTATTTGTTTGTAATCTATCCATACATGTGTCTGTATGTATACATACGTACGTATGTACATGCATATAGATAGATAGGATAACGAACAAATAAGAAACATTTATCAATTGTGGTTTTATCAAGCTAAACTTTATAAATTAAGATTCTTCATTAAAGGACGATGGTTAACAAGATAGTCCAGTAGACCATTAATACTGTAATGCATTTAACCTCTACTGAGGCTCAATACTTTTGGCCATGTACCAGACTAAGATGAGCTTTATTGAGGCACTTCAAAGTGGTGTAAGGATTAAAAAGCTAGTCTGGCAGGCCATAATCTTCACTGGATTTCCCAAGCTTGTGATCTTAAGCCACACCTTGTCTGCCTTGCTATGGAACAATGGTTAGCAAGCTAGTCTCACAGATGATTACTATTATCAGCATCAAGTGACCTACACTTGTGATTTTCATCTTTACTTAACTGAGCTTAGTAAAAGAAACCCCATAAGAGTGTTACAGCTAACAAGCTCACCCTCTGAAATATTAGTGCATCCAATCCCCATTGAGTGCCATACATTTTGCGGCCTTGTGTCAATCTTAAGTTTAGTAAATTTTCCTGTTTTTTGTTGTACTTTTTAAAAATTTCTTGTCTGTACAATACATAGCTGATCAATCATAATCATCACTGCAATAGTAAAAAGAGCTATTTGTCTTTCAGTTGACTGGCAATAGCTGCTGCTGATGATGACAGCAATAAAATTTAGTTATGATTGGGGATGGAACTCTCAATCTAAGTCACTATTTTCAATAAACTTCAAAAACTGACAAGTTTTTCCACTATCTTTCACAAAAAAAAAAAAAAAAAATTCTTAAGACAAGCAAGGAACAAAAATGCTGCCAATTGCAGAGTTCTTCAAGGAATTTCTCTATAAATTCCAACCTCTGAGAAGAATTTCCAAACTGTGTCACTCGGCCACATTTTTAAACACAAAATCAATAAGAGTTATGTAAACTATTTAAAGAAGAAATGTTTTATATAAAAATAAATGCATAACCTATTTCAATAAAATGAAAACAGAGCAATTGCTCTCGGCCTTTTCTCTCTTTCTCCCCAGCTGCTTAATTAGGAAGCCTGAACATCTACAGGGTGAGACATTACCCCCACCCCCACATCAAATTTATTGCATATAAGATTAAGAAACAGGATGAATACTTATAGGCAATGGTGAATAAAGGGGTTGCAAAATCAAGAAGAGTGCAAGGATTTTGAGGAAATGATTACATCTGAGCGAGTGCTACAGTTTTTGTTTTTATATATTATATATATATATATATATATATATATATATATATATATATATATATATATATATATATATACACCATAGAAATTTTGAAAGGAGGTCATACAAAAATAAAGTAAAATTTAGCAGATATTTAGTTTGGAGAAATTATTTTGAATTTATTCAAAATAGGATTTATATTGTGGAGTTGGTTGAAGACCACATAGTATACTTGTATAGTATTTGTCCTTAGAAAGAGAGAGAAAGTGGGAAATTACAGGCATGAAGGAAGAAAGAGGGGAACTAAAGAAAAATAGAGCAGAAAGAGGGGTAGTATGAGAAAGAGAGAGGGAAGATGTAGTAAGAAAGAAGGGAGGAGAAATAAGCGAGAGCAGAACAGAAGTAAAAGAGAGGTGGAGAAGGAAAGAGAAATAGTGAGGTGGGGAACTACAGGAAAAGAGAGAGCGAGTGAGCAAAGGTGGGTAACTATGGGAAAGGGAGAGAGAGTGAGAGTAGAAGTGGGGGAAGTACAAGAAAGAAAGGAAAAAGAGCAGATGCAGAGAAGTACAGGAAAGAGAGAGAGAGTGGTGGTGAGAAAGAGAGGAGAGAGTGAAGACAGGGAAATATGAAAAAGAAAGAAGAGAAAAGAGCAGAGGCAAGGTAGTACAGGAAAGAAAGGGCAAGGTAGTAAAGGCAGGGAAGTACAGGAAGGAAGGAGAGAAAGAGAGAGAGAGAGAGAGAGCAGAGGTGGATAAGTATTGGAAAGAATGACAAAAGCTAGAAAAGCAAAAATGAAAAAGGAAAGGAGATACGAAGAGAAAGAAAGAGATCTAGAACAAGAATAAAAGAAAAAAAAGAGAAAGAACAAAAGTGAAAGAAGAAAAGCAGAAGAGCTAAAGTGATCAAGTTGATATCTAAGGACCTCAGACATTAACAAAATTGCCATAAACGTAATTAGATTTATAAAAAAAGAAAAAAAAAGGTCCCATTAAAACATGGGCTGCTTCAAACAAGCGACTAACAACTGATTAAAATCTGCTGTATAAATGACACAGCCAATAAAACAAGTGAGAAGAAAGCAAGTCAGTGTAGTTAATAAGCAATGATCCAGTTATTGGCATTATAATATGGGATGTTCAGGAAATAAAGCAGGCCAAACAAAACACATGCACATTGCTCAATTCGATAAAATGCTTCAGTTCATTACTCACTTGATGGCAATCTTCTCTTTTAGAAATTAGAGTCAAGCTGTGACCCAATTCTTAAAAAAAAGTGTTCTTTTTGTTGTGGTTTTCATATCATAGCCTATAACATATTATAACATATTGCTTGCCCTATCATAATTGACTATGGGGGTAACAGCTTTCATTATTTTCTGCACATTTTCTTGTCTGTAGGGGGGGAAAAAAAACCAAAATAATTGAATGATAAACAAATTTTTACAAGTTTCATCATGCAACATATTTATTGCCAACTAAAAAAATCACCATATCAGAAAGAAAAATGATCAGCATTACTGACAGAATAGAACAATTACACATTAAGTCCATAGACCAATGATGAAAAAAATAATTTTGCACAACAAATATATTCTGAAAATAATCTCCTCTCTAGTCAATACCCAGAATTCAGTTGAGAATATTAATCTCATATTGAACATTATATAGTATAATTTTCATATAATAATTAAGCTAATATATGTGTACTAGGCTACTGACTTTTTGATCCATTATCATATATGTACAGTGTAAATGTAATTAAAAATGATTCCATGAAAGAAATATATATATAAATAAAAAAAAATCATCAGCATTACTGGCTTTCTTCTCTGTGCGTATATGTATGTATGTATGGGGGGGGGATATATTGCTAATGGTTTTAAGTTTATTTACTGTCTTTGTGGAAGCACAGTGGAGTAATGGGTTTGGGCCTGGATCAGAGAGCCGAGTTTGAATTACAGTAGAGTTTATGACATTCACTTATAAGCTAATAACCTTGAGAAAGGTATGAATCCATGTCTTCTCCCCCAAGCTATGAGTAAATAGGACAGACCAAGTCCTATAGCGTTGGGTGGCAGCCAGTCAGTCTTGGAGAAGGATAAACTGAATTCAAAACAGCCTGTAGAGAGTTGGGCTCAAGCTATCTTGCCCAAGAAACACTATTTCAACTCCAGCTGCAGTACATGTGGTGAAACCTATGACTATAATGAGTTATGGTTTTCATGATCATGACTCTTTTTCCTCCGATATAAAAGTAGGTGTTCTACTGAATCCCTACATGTAGAAAAAATTGCTACTGTAGACATTCATCAATATTTACAGAAGCCCAAACAATGAGAGTAGTCAATCTGTGGAGAATGTTTTTCAGCAATGGCAACAGGAATGTGTGTAAGAAGCCATATTCCAAGCAGTCCTACACAGCTGTTGACTAATCAAATGAAGAACATTTGTTCATCAATGATAAAAATGCATCGCCAATAGTGCTCACTAAGGTTTTGTATTTGAAAACTTTTTCTGTCCAATGAAGTTATTATTCAATTATATCCGTTGGAGTTTCCATGGAAACAAGCAGAAGACATGACTTTTGGAATGTCGCTCATATCTCTGTTTATTATCAATGTATCTCAACCCACAAAATGTTCATAGTTGACAAGAAAATGCACAGTTAATGGAGATGACTTTGTGGTAAAATAGTGTTTTGTAACTGAAAACTTGCTCCATCCAATAGTGTTATTGGGCTCCTTGTATCTGTTTCCATGGAAATAAATTGGAGACATTACTTTCAGAGCAACCCTCATGTATATAATCTGAAAAAAAAAAAAATCTTTGTAGCATGAGTATCAATTTTCTTGACAAAATCCCAAATCATAAATGTCTGTTTGTTTTTTTAATTCTTTTCTTACCATCACTATTATTATTGATTACCATTTGGTGATATAATTTATTTGTTAAATTTATTCAGGGATCTGGTGTTATTACCATTTAATTTATCCTGTTCATTATGATCATAATGATAGGGTCCCCATGCTCACAGAGACCCCATCATTTTAATACCAGTCTCTGATACTAATATTGTTAATTATAGAAATAAAAATTAACTGCAAAAAATAAATTTTCCCAAGTTAGACATTAGAAAAGAGCCAGAGAAAAAAAACAATTTATTCTTGTCAGACTTTCTATTTCTAAATCATGCAAGAATTATGAAATGGTTTCATGCCATTTTTTTTTTTTAATCTGAATCTATTAAGGTTTGGTTTGGTTGACTTCATTTAGTGGCATATCAACTTCTATTGGTTATTTAATGTCGAAACCTAAATATTTTGAACACAACTTTATGGCTTCAGCTAAATATATTTTGAACACAATTGTATACCTTCAACTACAGAAAAAATGTATTGCTGGTCATTTTGCTGTAAAATGCATTGTTAATGTTAGTCATTTTTCTTTTTATAGAAAAATATATTGTTGGTATTTTTATTATAAAAATGTATTTTTATACTTTCATAGTGTTTTGTTTTTGTTTAGAAGTTCACTACTTGCCCACAGCTGGGACCCTAACAGGTGCTACCACCCCAGGTCAGGGTGGACCTTGGAGCAACAGCAATTAAGAGATGGTTCCACGCTCCTCAAAACCTCCAATTTCCCAATCAGAGGGAATCTATTAAGGAGTATCATAAGTATTTTCATATTTTTTTTATAACCCTTTACCCCAAAGCTTATTTTATGTAGACATTAAAAATGAAATATAGCTCCACTAAATTGTTAGCATTATAAAATTATATATCATATCCTTATCCATACAATTCAGCTATACCTTTAGTTTAAAAGGTTATAATGGCAGGTGCAAGTATTGGCTTTTTGGCAATTTTGAGCAATTATTTTAAACTGGTCTCAAAGCCATTGAAGATGCTTACAGAATAAGAAAAGAAATGAAATCAGACTATATTACTAAAACTGGTTTAAGCATTTTAAAGATAATGATTTAGCACTTGAAATAAAACCCAAAAGCTGTCAGTTGTTATTGTTGCTTGAAAGTGCAAGCTGAACAGAAATTAACAGCACTAGAAATCTTTAAGAGATAAGATCATCAAAAGATCCAATGGGGGAGATTATTAGGTAAACATATATATATATATATGGCTGCTCCTCAGAAACACAAAAAGACACAAGTACAAGTGCTACACAATAATAATTGGAAATTAAACTGTACAAAAATGATAACATCTGCAAGAATAATTCATTATAGCTTTGAGTATTAAAATACAAAACTAGCCAATCTGTTACAGTCTTAAATTGCTGAAACCTCTAAGAAACATTTTTAACATAGGTTTTCTTTTAACTTATTTTTGGTGCTTGTTTGAACCTTATACAGCATGTCAATGTGATCATTAATGTCCATAAAATATTATCGAATTAAATCATGGTTTTAAGAAATCAGTATCCACTTACTGTTTATAGTGACTGTACATTTTCTTGTCACATATACAGTATGTTTCCATTATAAAACAATTTTATCCATCTTATTTTTGTCACTGTTTATCCCTACTCTCAATTCACTGGGTCTGAGGAATCTTACAGCATATCAATCTTTGTTGGTTTATTTCATGCTTCTTTTTTTTTTTTAAATTATTATTACACTGGAATCTAAAAATAAGCATTGGACATGTTTATACTCCAGTCTTTAAGCATGCACTCTGAAGGTGACTCCCTGGTGGTGGAAAAGTTTTACTCTCTGCAGGAGATGCAGTCAGGATTTTCTTGGTTCCACTAACAAGGCAATTTTGCATTATCTGACAATAAGCAAATTACATGAACTGAAAATAAGCAATAAGGTTCTGTTAAATTTGGGTGGTATCACCTTGTTCTTCTATTAACAGTGAAAGATTCCAAATAATTTTGTATAGGCAAATTTTTCTCACACTGTTTAGGTTAACCCATGGTATGGTTTTCAAGTTATGAAAACAAAGTTGAAAGATTATATTGAATCAATTGCTGGGCCTACTGCTGGGAAAATTGGTTCACTGTGTCATGCTAGACAATTTTTCTAGTTTACCATTCATCCTAGTTTTGAATATAGCTACCACATCTAATCTGGTTCTCCTGATATATATTTAGAGATTCTTGATAAAATCCAAAGAAGAATCTGCAATGTTATTGGTTTTGACCTGGCATCTTGATTTATGTCACTTTCCCACCTCTGTAACATAGCTTCCCTGTGCCTTTTCTATAAATACTTTCATGGTAATTGTTCTGACAAGCTTTCCATCAAAGTACCTAGACTTTATGAATTTAAGTACAGTACTAGTGGCAAGGTTTTATAGTTACATTTTACAGTTGAAATGGTTAGATGTAACTGTAAGTTCTATACTAACAGTTTCTTTTATTGCACTTCTCATTCCAGCTACAGCCTTTCCAAAATCTTCAAAAATTTAAATGCAATGTTAAACGTTATCTTTTGTCTTCTTAATTCCTGTTCATTTATTGTTCTCTCTCCGAAGAGTTTTTTTTCCTCATATTTTCAAACACTTAGTAATCCCTTGCATTTTGTTGGTTTTATTGCCTTTCTTAGGGTGAAATAATTTTAAAAGAAAAAAAAAAAAGACTTTTCAGTGGTAACACAAACACACTGATCATCTCCCTGGGACAGTATTAAACATTTACATCCTTTACCAATCAACCATAGCAAAATTTGAACTTGGCTAGAACATGAACACTTCAACCATTCAGCCACACACTGACTATTAATTAATAGATTGTTTGGAAAATAATGCGTGATTTTATGAAGAAACCTTTTAAATTGTGTGCTAACATAATAGTGGCACAAAAATATA